AAGGTCGATGTGATATCTGCCGCTGTGACTTTGGCATGCCGGACACACTGGCACCGGGACTGAGCCGATAATCCCGGGCCCGGGGGCCGGGCCCGGGCCGGCCCGTGGCACCGTCGGCAGTGGGCCGGCGCCGCGGGGGCCGCCGGGTGGGCCTGCCCCTCAGCCCTGCCAGTGGTTGCAGTTCGTTTGAACGTGAATGTGGACGGTGTGCCGGTGAGTACTACTGTGCGGTACTACCGTAACTTGACTTCGTCCTTTGTGATCTTACTCGACTATGATCCTGTGTCGTCCTGAGTGTAGCGCTGCATTCCCGGAGTCCCGGCCCGAGTCCGAGTCTCGGCCCTGAGGCTTCAATCCGACAGTGACTCCCAGTCACAGTGTAGCGTCCCGTACAACAATGGCATGGGCGCGGCGGGCCCTTTACTCAAAGTTAAGTTAAAGATCAGTACGAGGACAATCAGGAGAGTCGAGGAGGCTTGACCCTGACACTGTCGCACAGGCCACACGGCGAGAAGAGAAAACTTCGGAAAGCGAGAACCAAACCCAATCCTGCCGACTGCTCAGTGTCCCCCAAACTTAACTGCCATGATACCTTCACTTAACGGCGCGCAGGACAAGTCCCCCGCGCGGCCATGCCAGCGATGTCGCGGTGGCCGCCGCCGGGCAGTGACACATGACTCTGTGATGCGACTCCGGCGAGTCAGTGAATCAGGATCATGCTGTTCAACTTGCCAAGCTAGTCAGCATGACTTGCCAAGCTAGTCAGCATGACTCCTCCTCGTCGTCTCCTCGTACCGTCCTCCTCGTCATCTCCTCGTACCGTCCTCCTCGTCATCTCCTCGTACCGTCCTCCTCGTCATCTCCTCGTACCGTCCTCCTCGTCATCACCTCGTACCTGCCTCCTTGTCATCTCCTCGTACTGTCCTCCTTGGCATCTCCTCGTACCGTCCTCCTCGTCATCTCCTCGCACCTTCGTCCTTGGCATCTCCTCGTACCGTCCTCCTTGGCATCTCCTCGTGCCTTCCTCCTCGTCATCTCCTCGTACCGTCCTCCTCGTCATCACCTCGTACCTGCCTCCTCGTCATCTCCTCGTACCTGCCTCCTTGGCATCTCCTCGTACCGTCCTCCTCGTCATCTCCTCGCACCTTAGTCCTTGGCATCTCCTCGTACCGTCCTCCTTGTCATCTCCTCGTACCGTCCTCCTCGCCATCTCCTCGTACCTGCCTCCTCGTCATCTCCTCGTACCTGCCTCCTTGGCATCTCCTCGTACCGTCCTCCTTGGCATCTCCTCGTACCGTCCTCCTTGTCATCTCCTCGTACCTTCCTCCTGGTCATCACCTCGTAGCGTCCTTCTTCGCATCTCCTCGTACCGTCCTCCTTGTTATCGTTTGTAAGCTCTGCCAGTGCCGTGCCACCGGTTGTGATGTGACGCAGACTGGTTTAGGTGGTACCACGGCAAAGCTATGATAATCGAGGCGCGATTCGGAAATGGTACCATCGTACCTTTAGCAGTTGGTATACCTGCTCATGATCGGCGTCGTGTCTCGTTGGCAATTGACTGACATGCACTTGTACGGTGTCCAGGGATCCGAGTTTGCATCTTGGAAGCAAGATGGAACTTGGATTGGTGGTGAAACGGCAGAGAACACAGCATTCATGTGGAGGCAGCTGAATACCACCTCTGTGGGTAAATGGCTATCGAAGGACAGCGGGAAGTTGACAGTTATCACGGATCGAGGAACAGCGATTCTGAAGGGTTTACTCGATACCATGCCTCACGTTGATGTTGTCTTTTGTGCATTTCATATCATTGCGAATATCAACAAGCATTGTAAAGGTGATTTGCCGATACATTCGTGTTCTGGATTCGGCCTAACACCTGCCCTCCTTTCAGCGAATGGTGCTCCAGTCCTCCAGAAGACCGGAAGTCGTACGAACCCAGCTACAGAACCCATGTTTTGGGCAGCTCAGGTATCAGACCTGACAGGAACCCTCCAGTACTGGTGTTGTCAAGCTACTTCTTCCAGTTGTGGAAGGCAGACAAGGTAACCACATGGGTAAGCTTCCGGGATCGACGGTTGTCTGACTGTGTTGTGTCTCCCATCAGATGCAAGTGTTGAATCGATGGAATCAATCCATCGATTTCAGCAAATTATGTCCTATGCCCAGCATATACTGCTTCAGATACTCCTTGGTCCCAGCTGATTTATCCCATCACGCAGGCAAGTTGAATTATCATAGCTACTGGACCAGTTCTGAAGGTCCCTTGGCAGATTCCACGACAAACGGACAGCACATCATGCGGTGTTGTCATATGTGCTATGGCGGATTGCATAGTTACAAATGAGGAACTGAACTGTTTCGAACAAAGGGTATTACGCAGTATATACGGCAGTCAATACCCAGATAATTAATATTGGCACATAGTAATACAATATGAACGGGATGACATGTTCACCACACCAATCACTGATTCTCCATACGTATCGTCGGAATGTCACCCGTTCCTATGTGTACTGATAAGTTAGCATCATTTTGAAGGAGGACGAGGAGAGGAATGTTTCACCAGGATGAAGAAAAAGGCATCACAAGGAGGAAAGTGGAAAGGGGCCGAGAAGGAGAAAGTCATGAGGGGATGACGAGGAGGAAGGCACGAGGAGATGCCAAGGAGGACGGTACGAGGAGATGCCAAGGAGGACGGTACGAGGAGATGACGAGGAGGACGCTACGAGGTGATGACAAGGAGGCAGGTACGAGGAGATGACGAGGAGGACGGTACGAGGTGATGACAAGGAGGCAGGTACGAGGTGATGACGAGGAGGCAGGTACGAGGAGATGACGAGGAGGACGGTACGAGGAGATGCCAAGGAGGACGGTACGAGGAGACGACGAGGAGGACGGTACGAGGTGATGACAAGGAGGCAGGTACGAGGGGATGACAAGGAGGCAGGTACGAGGGGATGACGAGGAGGAAGGCACTAGCTAGGGGGATGACACAGACTCGGGCCTAGGGAGGGTACGAGGGGAAAAGGGGGTGGTGGTGATGTCGGAAGACCGGTGTAATTGACTGTATCTGAAAGGTAATATGGGGGAGGGGGGTACTGGCATAGCATTGTATGGGGGAAGGGTGGTGGCGGTATGTGACGAACACCGGTGTGTTTGACTGATAGACTGCAAGTAGGGGTAGGGTGGACCACCGACCCCGACATGTGACACTAGGGTAGGGGATAGTACCGGTATTTTTGATACCGAGTCCTGGTTATGAAGGGGGTAGCCGCTATGGGCCTTGAGGGGTGGGTCTTGGGGAGGGGTACGAACGGGAGGTTTAAAGGGGGGTGGAGGGGTGGGGTAAAGTTACAAAATGGAAAGTTGAAAGTTTGAAAGTTGATTTTGATTGGAAAATGATTGCAAAAGTATACGGTTACGACCGTTATGGATACGTGTAACGGTCGAAAACGGGGAGTTTTGATTTGAAAATGATTATAGTTTCAAAAAGTTGAACGGAAAATGATTACTGCAAACTTTTGTTGATCGGAAAATGATTACTCCAAAAATTTGTTGACTGGAAATTGATGATTGCCCCATGCTGACTGACCGCCCGGCCGGCGTCAGGCTACCGCATCGTCCGGGAGCCGGGACCGTACCTGTATGTCTCCCAGGAACAGGGGGTAGGGGGTGGTGACTACGGTAGTACCCCACTGGCACGGGTGATTGTACCAATTTTACACCCTCTTGTTCCTGTTTGAATACCTATATCAGTGGTGGGTACCCCATCTTAAAAGACCACCCCCACCTACGTCGAATTACTACCCGGGTAGTACCTTGGTAAAAAGAAGGCAACGGGTCATGGCAGGATGAGGTGAGCGATGAAGATGTAAGACGTTGGAGAAGCGAGAGAGGAGGAGAGGAGAGGAACAGAGAAGCGAGTAAGAGAAGATGAGCGTAAATGTAGAGCAGAGCATCAGGCAGACGAGAAGGCAACAAGGAATGCAAGTGTAGCGTTGGAACATTCAATACAGGAGGAACTTAACAACAGAACGAGCAAAAGGGAGCGATCAAGGGAGCACAGACAGATGCAAGAAGTGTGATATGGGTGAATGAGGATATGAGCATCGAGAGCCGTGAAGAAGATCGAAAGGAACGAGCCTTTAACGCATAGGAATCAGGATCTAGGATGTTACAGGGAAGGTAGGAGGGCAGTGAGAAGATTCGCCAAAAGAAGAAAAAGACAACCAAGAGTGGATACATCAGTCAACTGGGAGGAAACAAGATCATTCCTCCGCGTCTGATAATCAGAGGAGTCTCATGCTGTGATCTATGTCTTACCCAAACAAGTAGGGGAGCGAATTCAGAAGACGACGATGAGCTGGCGGAGCTACCGCCACCTAGCAGACCCAGAGGTAGTCTTGTAGCAGAAGACGCGGCTTCTAAAGGCTGGGCAGATGATTTGCTCAATCAACATCGCTCGTCTATCAGGTCGAGCTTCAACACTACAAAAGCGCAGGTGTTGTCCCCTCAGGCCTCTCGCACAGGCAGCTGACTGTTGTCATCTCCTGCTCAGCTCAAAGTGCAAGGAAATGCAGAAATCATCAAGTTCGATAAATGTGCAGAAGACAGAGAGCGTCTGAAAACAGCGATGAAGAAGATCTTTCTATTTGTAAGATGATAAAACGCTCCTGAGTGCCAGCCCACTGACAGTCTTGGAAGGCTCATCTGGAGGGAGAGCCGTTGGAGAAGGTCTTGTCTGCCCGCCTTCCTTTACTCATGCTGAAACTGCAGAAGGTTGTCGACGCCTTCGAGCCATTGTCGGTCAAGGCTGGAACCAAAATCATCGAGCAAGGGGACACAGTGAACGTGCAGAAGTTGTATCTGATCGCCTCAGGGGTGTGCGCATGCTCGATCAAACGAGACGGCAAGGAGAGTGTTGTGCACGTTGCGAGGTATGCCAAGAAGTCCTGATAGCCATCTCAGACTGTGTCGTCCTTGTTGACAGAGACTTGGAATGCATCGGAGAGCTTGCGCTCATGTATAATTGCCCTCGAGCCGCCACCGTCGTTGCGACTGAGGACTCAAAGTTGTTCGCACTGGATCGCGAGACTTTTCAGTACATCGTCCATGTGCTCTCGCCAACTTTGCATGTCACATTGTGAAATTTTCCTTGCCAGTCTTCTTTCGCGAGGAAACGGCAACTCTATCACGAATTCATGCAGCGCGTGCCCGCTCTATCTGGTTTAAGTCGCGACCAGCGAAACAAGATATCTGATGGTGAAGGAGAATGCTGCAAGTTTGGCCAGTCACAGTCGTGGCACAGTTTTGAAGACAGTGTTCTACAAGGATGGTGAGGATATCATCACGGAAGGTGACCCCAACGCCGACACATTCTACTTCCTCTTTGAGGTGATGTCACGCTGTAGAGGATCGCATCCTGACACATACCTAGGGCAAGGCAATAGCGAGCAAAGAAAGCGAGGGGATGCTCAAGGAGTACAATCCGGGCGACTGCTTTGGTTTCCTTGCTGGACGATTTGGTTGCGCGATTGAACCAATGTAGGGGAACTTGCGCTTCTAATGGACCAGCCTCGCGCTGCGACTGTCAGAGCAGACGGTCCCTGCACCTGTGTCTGCATCGACAGAGCATCGTTCACGCGACTGCTAGGCCGTGAGATGACGGTCTGAGCCGTTTGCCCAGCTGAATCGTTTCTTCTGCTTGCAGCGTATCAAGATTTGATGGACAACTTGCGCCGTAGTAGCCTGGACCGCATCCCCTCGGGTTTTACCAGGGGCGCCACAAGCGACAGATCGTCTCCGGCAAGTGATCGTTCCCCTTTTCCTCCCGCCTGTTCCCTCCATCCCCCATCCCCCACCCCTCTCCCGCTGCCTCTGCCTTCCACTTTTTAGAATCGTCTGATAGACGCGCAGCCGCAGGCACAGCTAGAGCTGATCAAGGTCAAGGCTGAGTTGGCAGCTGTCCGGTGACTTGTTGGCGCTGGAGCAGTAACGAGGCTCATGCGGTTTACAGTGCGGAAATGGACCGCAAGATAGCAGAGGAGAGGGAGAAAGCAGAGAAGGAAATCATGAGAGTGAGTCTCCAAACCAACGTCATTGTTTCTAAGGTCCTTTCCTGCAGATCAAGGCTTTGCACGATGCAGAGATTCAGAAGCTACGAAGCTCGACCACTCAGACTATGCCGACTAGCGCAGACAACACGTCAAGCATTTGTGTCATAAGTTGAAAGAACAAGGAGTCGAGCTAACATATCATGTACTGAGTCACACAGATGGCGCTGACGTCATCTCAAGCGATTCTAAGTCGCCTACGAGGACACCCGGCTTCCTTAAGAGCGTCACAAACCAAAGTCTCTGATGAGATTGCGAATTTCCGTCGCGCCTTCCCGCCAATCAACAGGCTTGACTTCCATGATAGTGCATCTGGGAAAGGGGTCAGCATTCGTCGGCTCCGATCGTCATCTGCTTACTTGACTCGCGTCTCATCCTGCCATGTCTCTGCTTTTGCTCGAACCTTATTTAGTGCCATTTCAAATTTTGCATACCAACAAAAAGAAAATGAACCTTGAGGACGTATGGCTTGAAGACAGATGCTTGCCAAGTTGCCTCGTAGTCAGGATTCATGCTGTCCTTAAGCTCCTGCTTGAAACTTAGGCGACATAAACCGCTGCTTTCAAGTTACTAAAACCTGCAATTCGTCGGCTGTCTTACCCAGGAGAGCTATGCCTTGATCATTGAAAGCTGAGAACCAATGTGACCCAGTAAAATCACTGCAGGATAAATTCATGACGTAACGGCGTTCGCATCTATATCTCTGATCAGTTGAGGCCCAAGAAACTTGCAGATCACCTTTCAATCGTCTGCTGTGTGCTCTCATCGAACCACGAGTCCCCATGGGCGATGACCTATCATGCTTATCAGTAGTGTTTCGAAAGTGAAATTCAGCTGTATAAACCACCTTTTTCTTCGTTTCTGGATTAGCAGGATAATTCCAAGTTCCATCATGCTTGAAGTAAGTCACCCAGGCTCTTAGCTATAGTATATTGTGAGTAGCAGAAGTCAGGACTTTCACTGGAAATACCGTAAAATAATCTGGTTTTTCAGCATTGCCCAAGTTTTCCCCCTTGATCTGTGATATTGTCTTGCGACTGTCTTTAGATCCTGAACTCATGGATCCACCCACAGCCTGAAAGACAGCAGATTTTCCATGACAGTCATACCATCCCTTCAGCAAATGTGCTTCTTGCAAGTCAGGGTTCATCTCGATCTATCAAAGTCAGCTAAGATTCAGGCTCCAGAAAACAAAAACATACCATGGAGCTACGCGTTGTGCTCAAACTTCGCCCATTGAAGTCAGAGACGCGCACACCCTTGATGGCAATAACAGGGTTTGACATGTCATTTTCTGTAACAACATCCTTATGATCGTCCCATAATGTCAATTTGATGGTTTTCCCTCCAGTATCCAACAACGACACATCACGTTTTGCGATCTGATCATCAAATCATTCAAATAGACATAAAACAGTACGTCTCTTACTTGATTGCCAGCATTTGAGCCAGATTTCACAGTCACAGAACCCAAAGGTTGAACATCGTGAACCACGGCCAATACATCGACGATTGATTGTGGTTCAGTATTTTCTATTTCCTCGATTTTCCTGAAATTGTATGAAACCTTTGGTGCTTCACTATCTGCTACGATATCAAAGGTACTGTCCCGATTAAATGTAATTTCGTATTCGCTTGAAGTTGTGTTGAACTTCCGATTTGCTTGTTTGATTGTTCCTCCTCGAATTTTGTACACCTGAGAAACAAATCTTAGGACTACAAAGGACTCGAGAATGAGTGTGGACCTTGTTTGCTTGTAGGTGCGGAAACCACTTGTCTGCATCGTCGTTGAAGAAGGTGCCTCGAATGTCTCCCGTATGATCCATGATATCTATGTTGAAAAGGCGACCTTCACCTTTCGCATTTTTATAGCTGCGCATCGCTAAATAATCGATATTAGTTCCTCAGCATCACAGGATGTATATCGATTACCACTTTTTACAACAATGCGCCCTTGAAGAGACCAATTGTTCAAGAAAGGATGAATCGAGTCCACAGGGAAACAAGGAGCACCAGCATTATCTCGTTCAATCACACCTTTGGTCATAGTATTTCTAAACGCATGGTCAGAGGAGCCTGATTGCTTCATACCATCCCCAGCAAATTGATTCATGGAAGTGCCCATTCCATAGCTTATTGGACCTTGTCCAGCATAAGGACCGCTATAGCCCATGGGTTGCGATTTGAAGCTATTACGCTCATGCTCTTGAACTGGATTCGAATTGAACACTACTTGATTATTGTTGGGAAAGCCAGTGCTGCTATTTACAAAGGAATTTCCTGTTTTCACCTAACAAATCGCCTTAGAGCTGGCCTTTACACGAAGGTGAATTGATGCAATTACCGCGTAGGGATTTGCCGACTCGTTGCTCGCTCTTTCCATTCTGTTCGGCATGTCGTTCTGATTCTGAAATGAATTTGAACCCATTGCATTGACGAAGTCTCCCTGAGATCGTTCACTCTTCACGTTTGCTTGAGTAAATTGTCTTTGCCGGTCATAATTATTCTCAGGAGGCGGATTGACAGCAGATTGATTCTTTGATCCCACTGAAGTTGGAGCCGTCGAGTATGAAGGAGCTGCTGAACTTGGCATCGCATTTTGAGGAGCCTGGTATTTCGACCACAACATGTCAGATTTTCAGAGCAGTCGATGCCAGATTGAACCTTGCTTTGTTGACCAGATGGGTCACCAGCAGAATCAATGCTGACTGGTTTGCCAATCATCTGCGCCATTGGAGGACCCTTCACCTGTCAAAAGAGTTAAACGATCATCTTCCTCCCCAAATTTAGGACATTACTTCGATACTCAGAATTATGACGATTCTCCTACTCTGCACCACATTACAAATACAATCTTTTATTTCAACGATGCAGAATTTGTCCAACTGCATTCAAGTCGTTCAGGTATCATGGAATTTCAAGGTAGCTGTACCTCCTTTGCATTTACAATCCCATTGAGTTGTGTAGCAAGCATTGCCTGACAGAAAAACGACGTATCTGATATAACCAAGCGATAGCGCTCTCCACTTGTTCCTGTCGCATAAAGCTCAGTACAACAGAAACAGCGAGTTGTAGTGTATGCACCGTTGTTTGTTCCAATCTTCTTGATATCAATAACCTGAAAGAACATGTCAGCATGAAGCTTGCCAGAACTTCCTGGAAAAGTGGACCTGTACAACATAGCTCTTGCCGGTATCAGCAGAGCCAGTGTTGTTCCAATAAATCTCCCTCACTGCTCCCTGAGTTATGTTTGCAGCCATCTGATGAAACCCAGTTAGGATCTTAAAACATTCATCGACTAATCCAAACTATATATGTCTCATATCAAATCAGAATCTCAATGCATTTTCACTTTGCAGGCTAAATTGTTTGCTTTTAGTTCCCATGGCTGTGCCCCGAAAACATTCTTTTCAAGAAAAGCATGATTTATGCCTCCAAGCCCTATTCTTTCTCCATGATGTTCCTTATTTCATCCTTCTCATCGTCTTCGTAATTGAATCTTCTCTTTTCCCTCCTCTTCTCGCCTTCATCTATCTCCCGTTTGTTCCCCTGCATCCTTGTCTGAATTTCATCGTTTTGGCGCCTTTTTTTCCACCACTCCGCCAAGCTGTCGTGTTACCGAAGGGAGGTGGGGTATATAAATGAGTACTAGGGGTAGTACAAATTTTATACCTCCAGCTTCATTCCAAGGGGGTGGGGGTTATCAAAAGGAGGGTACAGACACAGAGGGGGTTCGTGGGAGGGCTGATAGAATAGTAGGGGATGGCCCGCGCTCAGTTCGTCCTTCTTTTCTCCATGGCCAAGTCGCTGGGCGGTTCAAGGAGCGCAGTGGCTTCATGCTCCTCCCGACCCGGCAGTCTGTCCCTTCCTAGCCGGATGCCTTCCTTTCTTGCTCTCGTTCCTGCAGCGTCTTCTTTCCTCCTTCCTGTACCCACGTCTCATCCCATGCTCGTCAGACGCACCTTGTGCTGCCCGGCGCATCTTTGTCGGGGGCATGAAAGCCTCTACTCCTTGTCCAGCAGGCTCATTGCACGTCGATCCTCCTTTCCTCTTATTCGGCATGGTGATTTTAGCCGTTTGACTTCATTTATTGAGGCTTTTGTTTTGGAAGGAATGACGCGAAGCATCATGAAGAAAGTCTGCGCCAGCCAAGGTAGGGTGAAGATTCGAATGCTTCAAGTCATGATATCTTCTGATTGACATCGCAGTCATTGAGGATACCAACAAAGATATCAACCAAGTAAATGTTCTTCATCCAGATGCAGGCGAGCTTTGCACGAGCATATCACTTACATCCATGCTCTAACTATTTCTCCGACAGGGGCCTATGGATCGTTGGCAACTATCACATGGAGGAAAGCATGGCGAGCGCTATGGATACAATCCGTCCTTTGTTTCCTAGCTTGCATGTTTCTTTCATTCTCGTATGTGATCCAGTGGAACATCAAGCTAAGGACGCTTGTGTCCCAGTCAGAGCTACTTCTCGGCATCGTAAGCTCGGGCTTAGCCTTTTCCTTCTTGTCCATTGTCCTCTTGCTTGTTCAGATGCTCTGGACGTGGGGGTATACCCGTGCAGCCGTGAAGCTCAGCTTTGTTTCGGGAGAGATGCAGCTTTCTGCATCAAGGAAGGAGGAGGAGAGAAAAAGCGAGACTTCTCCTTTTGAACTCTGCAGGAATCTCCGACACTCTCTGGAGATTGGGACAGGTGGGTGGGAGGATGGAGGGTGGGAGGAGGAGAAGGATTCAGCAATATCAAAGAGATTGTGGGGAGGAAGAAGGATGGAAAAAAAGATGAAGGACGATGAAGACAAGTAAGGAGGGACGAGGGAGGGTAGGAAACTTGCAGGAGATTGATTGGTAAGAGGGAGAGTATGAAACTGAAAAGATTTGCAGGATTGGGGCTGGTTGGGATTTTTCTTTCATCTGCAGGGATAATGAAGGTGATGAAGAGTGTGGAGGAGCTTGTAAGAAGGGAAGGAGGAAAGGGACAAGAAAAATAGAAGAAAAGCGTCATGACGCAGGCAGAGAGGAGGGAGGAGTAATCATATCTGGTATGGTAAAGGAGGCGATAGATAGAGGGAGAAGAAAGAAGGATAATGACAGGACGGATGGAATGGAATGAGAAGTCAAGAGGTTGGAAGGATGGACGTCAGAAAGGGAAGGCTCAAGAACGCAGTCAGGAGAGAGAACGAATGGAGATATGCGTGGATTGCCCACTTCTGAGTGGATGAGCAGATAGTTGGATCTGTTGCTTTCTTCATGATCAGACAACGGGGTTTCAACGTCCTGTTTTGGGCAAACAATCCTCCTGTGATGCTGCAGGTACGAAGATGTGAAATTCATGAATGTTCTGATAATACATCTTTATGGTGTTTCTTTTCAGCTAATGTTGTGAGTTGTATTCTATCTTACCTATTTGTTTATTTGTGCACATTCGGCTCATTTTATTGATTTCCTGTTAGGCCCGAGATGTTTTTCTCAGTAATTGCAACATCGTTTTGTTAGTTGCTCACACAGCAGGTCTTCTCTGCATGCATTCGTTGAAGAGAAAGCTACCGTGAAGGAAGGGAAGGAAAGACAGAGGGAAGACGCTGCGGTTTTTGTCAATTTTGAGCCCATTTACGAGAGGAGGGGGAATCGGATAGTGAGGAATAATTCGAAAAAGTTTGTATTCTAGATAATTTGTTCAAAAGATTTGTTTTCCTCACTGTGCTTGCACTTTGCCTGGGCATTACCATGACTTCTTTTCTCCTGCAATTTGTTTGCCCGGGGTACCATGATACTCAACAAGGTTATCGATTGTCGGATCCCTTGAAATGCCTGTCCTGATGCTTGAAATTCATCAGGTTCTGAGCAAAATTGGTGGAAGCAATAACTTCCAGCTAACGTGATTTTTGTTGTCATTTCGATTGTGCCTGATACAATGTAAAGGACAGCAATCTACGACATTTTGAGTAGACCACAACGGCAAAACTAATCCCAGGTCATGACTAGATCAGTCTCAAGTCAATCTATGCTTCTATTTCCCGCAATACGAATGCATAAAGGGTACTTGAAAACACATTTTATTTTGGATCACAATGCCGAAGAATTGGTATTTCTCGCAAAACACATTATTTGAGCGCTTGTAGAATCCTTAAAAGAAACAGGGGAAGCAAGCAGCCATGAGCTGACAAGAAAGTTATCGCATGAGACTTGCAAGGTTTGTTTCAACTGCCCATCATCCATACTACAAAAAAAACCCGAAATGACAGGATAGATGCTGAGTTCAAGGCCGAGGGGGCTGATGATGCCCTTTTTCTCCTATGCTCACATATAGGGAAACCACCACGAGGTCGGGCAGGTTCCAGGGATGCATCGGAGTCGGCATCTCAACCTGGGGTGGGTCACCATGAAAGGGAAAGATGGGGGTAGGGGGGTTATGACGGACCGTAGATATGACTGTAGATTGGGTAGGTATTCTGAGGGGGGTCAGATGAGAATAATGGGGGGTGATACTCTCTGAGGTATCCGAGGAGCATGTCAAGGTGAAGTATTCTATAAGTCGTACAATAGAAAACTTTGAGGACCCACGTGTAATGCACTCAGGGTTGACGGGAGGAGGGGGAGAAAAATTTGATCATGGGGTGATGACAATCAACCGTTAGAGGCAAGGGGGTCATGACTCCAATCGACGCGCGTCACTTCGAAAATCGCAGCTGTGCAATGGCGCAACATCAGTGCTAGGAGGGCATCTCTGGCTTCTGAGCAGCGTCGAGACGGATCCTGCTACCAGCCTACAACTGGTCACGATCTTCTTGCACAGCCTGATGATGTTCACAACAAATGAGAGAAATACCCGACTCCGCAGGTCTGGAGGATGTGCAATTTGCATTATTTTCATTTTCGTCTTCGTGAAGGCAACTGAGGTCAGTTTCACGCCACATGTATCATTTGTGTATCGTATGTCTTGTGTCATGTCATATGCATCATGCATGATGTATCATGTCATATACAGCATGCAGCATGCAGCATTAAGCATGTAACTCGTGGTGTGTTATATAATGTGTGCGGTGTTGTACCATTGATCTTTCCGCAATGCTCCACTGAATTTCCACAAATGTTCAAGACAATTGTATTCTCATTTGGCGTAGACTGAGGCTGTATATGCCAGTGACTTTTGTGGAAGCATGAATTGTTGTGATCCTCGGTAACTAGCTGCTTTCCTTAGGCGATTGACAGACCCTCAAAGCATGACTATCATACTACCTCCCTTTCATCCTCAAAACAAGGAAAAGGAAGGCTCGTGTCTTTGATGGGCCTCGACGGCATTACTTCTGCTGACCAGTCTCCTACACTTCCCGTTCAATACTTGAAGGAAGAAAAAGAGCTGAACATTGACGTTGAGAGTGCCAAGGAGAAACTTGACAAAACCAACACTGAGGAGGCGAGGATTGAGCAGGCTGAATCTCAGTTTTCGAACTTCATTCACGAGGAAGTGTCTTCGATCGAGTCAGACGTGAAGACGATAAATCTCAAGGACACCGACGAGATTGACAGTATCGTTCCCTTGATCGGAGCTCCAGGACCTCCAGGGTTGAATGGAGCCAATGGGCATGATGGAGATGAAGGGCTTGTTGGCCCGCAAGGCTCGAAAGGAGCTCCTGGACCTCAAGGGATAGCCGGTGAGATCGGACCTCCTGGACCTCGAGGAAGGGCTGGCCCCGATGGCAACATTGGAGTGAGCGGTCGTCTAGGTAACGATGCACTTGAGATGAGTGAAAGGTTCTTATATTTCATGAAGGTCCGCCTGGTATTGCAGGAATTGCAGGCATTCGAGGCCCTGAGGGGCCTCCAGGAAACAAGGAAAAATGGGTTGCGTCCAAGTATGACTGCCCTGCGGCATCTACCGATACCATGCGGCTTGTGGACTGCAGCAGCAGAGGTTGCCGTCTAGAGGTTTTGTTCGAAGACGAGTGGGGCTCTGTCTGCAGCAAAGGAATGGACGCAGAAAGTGCTGACAGCATTTGTTCTATGTTTGGTTTCGAGGACCTTGCAGCTTTGAATCCCAAGAAAGGCGGAGGCTCTGGAATGGTATGGCTTTCCAACGTTGACTGTGAGGGGACAGAAGGGGACGTTGGTGACTGCAAGCACAGTCAGTGGGGAGCTAATGACTGTGCTCATGGTGATGATGTCGGCATTTGCTGCTATGGAGCTGCTAGAGGCCTCAAGGGGACGAGGCGTGGACCAAGCTACTTTCCTCGATGTCCTTCGACAGAAACACCTGGCGCTGAAGAGGAAATGGAAGAGGCAAAGTCAGGAGTAGCAGAGACTGACAGTTTCACATCAAAGACCAAGGTAAGACTTGTCGACTGCTCTCGCTTCGCTTGTCGTTTGGAAGTTCTGCACGAGGGCGTCTGGGGTACAGTTTGTGACAAAGACTTTGGAAGTGAATCAGCCAACGCCATTTGCAAGTCTCTTGGTTTTGCTGAGGGCGGTGTGAGCAAGACCAAATGTTCCTTGCAGACCAAATATGGAGGCTGCAAAGCAAACTCCGAGGATACTTCTCCCATATGGTTGTCAGATGTCCAGTGCATCGGGTTCGAGCGAGACATCATCGGTTGTCATCGCTCCGAATGGGGAGATACACAATGCACTCATGACGATGACATCGGCGTCTGCTGTAGGGGTACCGCTGGCACCATTCCAAAGCCTCCCCCTCCAAAGGGAGGCGTACTTGATTGGAAACCAGGCACCTCCATCGATGCTCGTAAAGGTGGGACCGCACTGGAAGAGCCGTGGGGGAAAGGAAAAGCTAGCTCAGAGGATGGTTATCATTTCGCCAATGGTGCAGGTCTTGCAGCAGACCCTGGCAGAAGCATGAACCCCTTCCAGTACTCCATCCTCCTTGATGTGCGCTTCGACCAAGTTGACGGGTAAGGCTCTGAGTGCGCTGAAGGTATGTGGCTGATGCTGATTACACCTCAGAGATGTCAAGATTCTCGACTCCCAGGGGTGGGACACGAGCGGGCTCTACTTGCGCGGATCCAACATCATGCTCTATCCCAACTGTGGGATAAAGTGCATCGAGCCGATTCTGCCAGAAGTCTGGTACAAGATCATGTTGACCCGCAGCAAAGATGGGACTGTACAATTGTTTCTCAACGGAAATCTGTGAGTCCAGCTGTTGATGTGTCATTCCTTAATGTTTGTGTTTAGATGTGGATCAGGCAAGCCTGACATCGCTGACAACTTTGCGCTTAATCCCCACGATGTCAACTTTTTCCATGGCAATTCTAATAGTGCTCCGCAAGGAGATCTGAAGCAAGTTAAGATGATGAATAAGACTCTTTCAGTGGATGAGGCGCGAGAAGCAGCCAAGTGCGTCGAACTTCCCAAAGCAACTGCGTGTGATAACACAGTTTCCATGACCGTCAGCGCTCCTCGTACTGTCTACTCTCATGTTCTCAATGGCGATGAGCCGGGCGAAGGAAATGGCAGAGGAAAGCTCACTTCTGAGGCAGCTTGGTGTTCGGGTACAAAGAAAGTTGGGGCATACATGCAGATGGATACAGGTTCAGTGCAAACCATCGTCGGGGTTGTTGTGCGAGGGAAAAAGGACGCAGAGTCGTGGGTCACCGGCTTCAAAGTTCAAGTTTCAGACGATGGACAGGCGTGGCAAGATGGTTTCTGCGGGAAGTACTTTACAGCAAACAATGACAGGAACACCAAAGTGAAGCAGATGTTCCCATTTCCTGTTGATGCTCGATATATCCGCATAATCCCGTGGAGCTTCAAAGGGTCGATGTGCATGCGAGCAGGCTTGATAGTCTGTGAGAAGCCTTGCATTAATGGGGAACTTGACTTTCATTTCAAGGAAGAGTTCTCCTCTTCAACCTTTGGCCCTTCTCTTGACCCTGTTTGGGGGGAAGGGACTTTCATAGGTAACCAGGGTCCCTATCAGTTCTCTGGTGGGAAGGGACTCAAACTAGACCGGAGCTCATGTGTTACGGGACATGTATGGACCATGCTTATCACGGCTAGTCTTGATACAACAACCGGCTGGCAACGAATCATCAATTCGAAGGGTTGGGGTGACAGTGGAGTATTTGTGAATGACCAGTATCAGCTCTACCCCAGCTCCTTGAATATTCAGTGCATTGAACACATTCTACCCAACGTTGTGTACACTTTTGGCATTTCCCGCAGTGCCCAGGGCGAGATCAAATTGTATCTCAACGGCGAAGTTTGTGCCAAGGGAACACCGGGAATCAACAACAATTTTGATTTGGATCCTCAAGAGGTGGAGTTCTTCCACGATGAATCTGATGCCAAGCTGGCAGGGAAAGTGAGTCGAATCCATCTATGGAAGCAGCTGCTAAGCGACAAAGAGATCGCAATGTTGTGCAACTGTCGGCTCCCTGAGCCTGGTGCGAAGTGTGACAACACCATCACATTTGTTCCCCTCAATGAAATGATAACCTACTCGTCAGTGTGGTCCAAAGATAAGCCAGGAGTTGGGCATGGACGAGGAAGGCTCAACTCGAAGCAGGCATGGAGCGCAGCCGAGAACAAGCCCGGAGAGTTTATGGTCCTTGATACAGGAAGCATCCAGAGCATCTCCGGGGTCATAACGCAAGGAAGACACGATGAAGATCAGTGGGTCACGTCCTTCAAGGTTCTTGTGAGTGCTGATGGCATTCAGTGGGACGATGTGCATTGTGGCAGAATCTTCAAAGGCAACAGTGACAGAGACACCAAGGTGAAAACAGTTTTCGACTACCCTGCTCGAGGGCGATACGTCATGATCGAGCCGCAAACTTTCGACAAGCACATGTCAATGAGAGCTGGCGTCTTGCTTTGTGAGCGACCGTGTGAAGGAGGAGAGCTAGACTATAGGTTCGCCATGTCTTTCATGTCTGACACCAAGGGTCCCTCACTAAACCCACGCTGGGGGGAGGGCACATTCGAAGGGCCTGAAGGGCCTTACATCTTCCGTCAAGGCAAAGGCTTCAGGTTGGAGCAGTCGCGCTGTCTTGTGGGGAAAGCGTACAGTGTGATCATGGAGGTATCGCTGGAGGAGACGCAAGGATGGGTGAGGCTGCTGTCCTCTGATGGATGGGATGATAACGGTCTTTATGTCAACGAACAACTCCAGCTGTTCCCCAAGACGTCCAACGTCCGTTGTTCGGAGGTCATCCGCCCAGATCAGATGTACAAGATTGGAATGACTCGTAGTGCTACTGGCGAAATCTCACTGTTCCTTCATGGAGCCAAGTGTGCAAGTGGCGAACCATTGTTCAGCGACAAATTCGAGCTGAGCAGTAACTGGATGGACTTCTTCCATGACGATGGAGCCGAAGACAGCGCAGGATCTATCAAGAGGTTGAGACTGTTTGACAAAGAGCTGTCGGAAGTCGAGATGGCAACTTATTGCGGATGTACCCTTGCAAAGTTTGGAAAACCTTGTTCTCAGTACATCATCATGGCACCTCCTGACTATAGTTACAGCTACTCAAGTGTTTTCGACAATGACAACATAGGTGTGGGCCATGGTAGGGGAAGACTGCGATCGCCGCAGGGATGGAGCGCAAAGGGTAAAAACATCGGTGAGTGGATGCAGATCGATGGAGGAGAGGTGCAGAGCATAGCAGGCGTTGTGGTGCAAGGGAGACATGACATGGACCAGCGAGTGACATTGTTTGATGTTGAAATCAGTGATGACGGGCAAAAGTGGGTGGAGGTCGAGTGCGGAAGAATCTTCGACGGCAACTCCGACAGGGACACCAAGGTCTTCGCTGTGTTTACTAGTCCTGTCCTAGGACGCTTTGTTAGGATTTATCCCCTCGACTGGCAGGGCCACATGTCGATGCGAGCTGCACTTCTTCTTTGCGAACGTCCGTGTGAGGGAGGAGAGCTCAATTATGCTTTCCGAGACAATTTGATCTCTTCCACCAAGGGTCCCAGCTTGAAGACACCGTGGGGTGAGGGGTCATTTGACGAGCTGAGAGGCTATCACTTCACGGAGGGTATGGGGTTGTCGCTGTCGCAGAGCAGCTGCCTCAAGGACAAGTCGTACACCATCTACCTCAAAGTTCAACTGGACCAGGTCTCGGGTTGGCAGAAGCTCATCGGAGCTGACGCATGGGGTGACTCTGGCTTCTACGTCAATGAGTTCTTTCAAAGCTTCCCGGTGGCTTCGGGAGTGAAGTGCGACGAGAGGATCCGGCCAGGCGTCACCTATCAGTTCGTGGTCACCAGAGACGCAGACGCGGAGGTCCGAGCATACGTCAACGGATGGCTCTGTGAAGCCGGGAGCCCGCCATATGAGGACGGATATCAGCTGGAAGAGTCAGGAATATGGTTTTTCCATGACGCCAGCAGCAAGGATGCCTCAGGGTACGTGAGGAGCTTAAAGCTGTGGGACCGCGCGCTCTCCAACGAGGCTGTGCTTGCCGAATGTGCCTGTGCTCCTCCAGCCCCTGGAGCTCCTTGCGACCACCATGTGCTGCTGAACCCTCCTGACCTGCAAATCGCCTACTCGTCGATCTATCAGGGATCAGACGTGGGCACGGGCAACGCTCAGGGTCGACTCAACTCGGCCTATGGTTGGATTCCCAAAGATTCCAAATCCGACAAGGAGTTCTTGACGATCGACACTGGCGAGATTCGCAGCATCGTTGGAGTCGTGACTCAGGGTTGCAGAACGTCATCGCAATGGGTCACGTCCCTGCAAGTGGAGGTGAGTGAAGACGGACGGAAGTTCTTTCCGGTTGAGTGCGGTCGGACTTGGGATGCCAACGAGGACTCAAACTCTAAAGTCAAAATCATCTTTGCCCCTGTCAAGGGCAGATTCGTCCGTATCCTGCCTAAGACATGGGAAGGCAAGATCACGCTCCGAGCTGCAGTCCTGGTCTGCGAGCGACCCTGTGAGGACGGCGTGCTTGACTATGAGTTCAAGGGGACTCTGCTCTCCAGCACCAGGGGCCCCGGGCTGGTGGCTGCATGGGGGGATGGAACATTTGGTGAGGACGAGGACGGGTACAAATTGAGCAAGGAAGAGGGACTATCTCTAGCAGTTGGCCGCTGCATCAAGAGTAGCGCTTATACCATCTACATCAAAGCCTTGCTTGACAAGACCTCTGGTTATCGAAGAATTCTCAGCTCCGATGGCTGGGACGACAAAGGGATCTACGTAAACAACTACTTCATGACATATCCGCCTACATCTGGCCTCAAGTGCAACGAAGCAATCAAGCCTGGTCGCTGGTATCAGTTTGTGATCACAAGGACAGAGGAAGGAATGATGAGTTTATACCTCAACGGATACCCCTGCGAATCCGGCAAGCCTCCATATGCTGACAGCTACAAGCTGAATCTCGATGAGATCGCCTTCTTCCATGACGAGGCGTCTGAGAATACAGGCGGAGAAGTCGCAAAGATTAAGATATGGGACAGAACTCTGGACAACAAGGAAGTGATGGATGAGTGTAAGTGTTACCTGCCCCCGCGAGGATCCCCATGCGACGCCTTCATCGTGCTTAACGCCATGTACGATCAGGTCAAGTACTCGTCGGTGAAGAGCTCCTCCGCCATGGGAACTGGAAACGCCCGAGGAAGGCTGAATTCGCCTGGGTCGTTTTCTCCATCTAAGAAGGACGACAGGGAATGGATGCAGATCGATACAGGAGATGTGCAGAGCATTCCAGGGATTGTGATACAGGGCGGCTCGGCTACGGAATGGGTGACTTCATTCGAGATTGAGGTAAGCGACGACGAGAGCATCTGGAGCAAAGTAGAATGCGGGCGAGTGTTTGATGGCAACGAAGATGGTACCAGCAAGAAGGAGGTCTTGTTCAGCTCTCCTGTCAGAGGTCGATTCATTCGCCTCTACCCCGCCACTTTCAAGACTTGGCCCGCCTTCAGGTTCGGAGTCCTCTTGTGTGAAAGGCCTTGCGAGGGGGCCGAGCTGGATTTCCGCTTGAAGGACAATTTTAGGTCAAGCACCAGAGGTCCTTCCCTTGAAACCCCGTGGGGTCTTGGGAAATTCGATGACACCCAGGGATACGCGTTTGCCAAGGGTCAGGGGCTCCGCCTTGACGAGTACCACTGCATCAACAAGACTTCCTACACCATCTACATGGATGTCGCCTTGGACTCTGTGGATGGCTACAAGCGACTTATCGATTCTGAGGGATGGGATTCCAACGGCCTGTTTGTCAACGGCAAAGTCCTTACGTTTCCTACTGGTGGAAATCTTCAGTGTGAAGAGAAACTGCAGGCAAAGACTTTCTATCAGTATGTCTTGTCAAGAAGTACTGATGGCAACGTAAAACTGTACCTCAACGGGTATCTTTGTGCTGAAGGAGTGATCCCTTACTCTGAAGGATACAAGCTTTCGCCCCATTCGATTAGCTTCTTCAAAGACAAGTTCGACCAGCAATCCTCTGGCTTGGTCAAGAGAATCAGACTGTGGGACAGGCAGCTATCGGACACAGAAGTTGCATCTGTATGCGAATGCACATTAATTTCTGAGGGTAACGGATGCGAGGATGACATTGTCATATACAACGCGGGCGACGAGCAGTACGAGTATTCTTCCATCTACCAGAACAACGATGCATTCAGCACCGGACGCTTCAACTCTGTGCGCGGGTGGACTCCTTCCAAGCAAGAAGTCGGGGAGTACATGCAGATTGACCTCGAGGAGATTCGCAGCATCAGGGGAGTGATCACACAGGGAAGTAAGGTCAACACAAACTGGTGGACGACGTCATTCAAGGTTGAGATCAGTGAAGACGGGAACTTGTGGAAGCAAGTGGAATGCGGGCGAACGTTCGCTGCAAACACAAACGCATTGGAAGCTGTTTCAACCTTGTTCTGGCCGAGCATACTCGGTCGCTACCTGCGAATCTACCCCCAGACGTCGAGCAATGGCATCTTTGCTTTGCGAGCCTCGGTCCTGATCTGTGAGGAGAAGTGTGAAGGAGGAGAAGTGGACTATCGGTTCGAAGGGTCGTTCGCCTCGGACACCCTTGGGCCCATGCTGGACGAAGGAAGCAAGGTTGGCAAGTTTGAGCTTGTGAATGACGTATGGCAGTATCAGTTCACGAAAGGACAAGGGTTCAGCTTGGATGAGGGCAAGTGCATCTCTCCGTCGGAGTGGAGCCTGCTCATCTACATGCAAGTGACCTCAACCAAAGACAAGAGTCTTATCATGGGCTCTTCCGCCTGGGGAAACAACGGGCTCTTTGTCGACACATTTCTCAGGATGTTCCCGGTGAACTCAGAGCTTGTGTGCGAGGAGACGATCTTTGATAACAGGTGGTACTTCTTTGGGCTAACACGCTCAGCAGAAGGGGTAGTATCACTCTACTTGAACGGCTACCTGTGTGCACAGAAAGCTGCTTCCAACTTCGAAGGCTTCAAGCTCGCGGGACACGACGTCACCTTCTTCAACAGCAAAGCTGGTTATGATTGCGAGGGAAAGATCGAAAGCCTTGAGATGTGGAAAACCACAAAGACTCAAGCTGAGATGGCGACCATTGCTGGTTGTGCTCTGCCAGAGACCTCAGACAAGAAGTGCTCAAACACTATCCTGTTCAACGTTCCCTACTCCCAGCACACCTACTCCCACGCCGGCAATGCTCCCGGTACGGCTACATGGGTACAGGGACAGATCAACGCGCAGTACTGTTGGGCCCCCTCTTTGAAGAAGTTTGGCAACGATTTTCCTCCTTACGAGGAAGGGATTTGGATGCAGCTTGATGCCGGCAAAGTTCAAACAATAGCAGGAGTTGCGACACAAGGCTACAGCAACCACTGGGTGATGTACCTGACGGTCAAGGTGAGCACTGACGGCGCGTCTTGGTTTGACGTGGCTTGCGGAAGAATCTTTCCGGCGAATGTGGACGGAGTCTCCATCGAGAACATCCTCTTTCCTGAGCCAGTCGTTGCTCGGTATGTGAAGGTCTTCCCTCAAGACTCCAACAACCAGCCGTACCTTCGAGCAGGGATCTTGCTATGCCAGAAAGATTGCGAGCACGGAGAGGTAGACTATCAGTTTAACGAAGTCTTCACTTCGTCTACCAATGGTCCCATGCTTGAAACGCCTTGGGGTGTGGGTAAGTTCGATTCTGAGAACCACTGGTACAAGTTTGCTGCATCCCAGGGGCTTTCACTGGATGTGTCCACATGCTTGCAATCAGATGCATGGAGCGTTTTTATTGATGTCAAGGTAGACACGATCAACAGCCCGAAGCAGATCTTTGGAACAGATGCGTGGGGTGACGATGGACTCTACGTCGGTGATAACTATCATATTGCTCCCAAGTCATTGGCGATTACCTGCGATGAAGTGCTGCTGACAGATCGGTTCTACCGCTTCGGTGTAACGCGGAGCTCCGATGGTATTGTATCTTTATTCATCAGAGGCTTCCTATGTGCCCAAGGCAAACCGGGTGTGCACGACTCTTTCAAGTTGGACGCGAGCCACGTGTCGTTCTTCCACAACAAAGATAGCAAGTACAACACCGCGGGAAACCTCAAGAGAATCAGGATGTGGAACCGAGCTCTTAGCCCTGAGGAGATGGCCTCTGATTCTGGCTGCAGCCTCCTTCAGCCGAGCGACTCGTTATGCACAGGAACGATCATCGCAAACATACCTTACACCGGACACGTCTATTCTTCGGTGTGGAACAACAACCTTGTTGGCCAGGGATACGGCACAGGCATGCTTGACGGCACAGATGCATGGTTGTGCAAGAGCGGCGATCCCGTCGGCTTTGACAACGGATGCTACATGCAGCTTGACACTGGGAAAGTGCAGAGCGTCGCAGGGGTTGTGACACAGGGACGATTGTCTGCGGGATGGTGGGTAACAAATTTTGGAGTGAAAGTGAGCGAGGATGGTGAGAAGTGGACACCAGTTGCTTGTGGAAAAATCTTCGAAGGCAATACCGACCAGAACACCAAGGTCAAGAATCTTTTTCCTTTCCCTATCAGGACTCGTTTTGTCCGTATCTACCCACTACTGTCAGTGACCAAAGGACAATATGGTATGCGCGCTGGGATTCTGCTATGTGAGAAACCTTGCGAAGACGGAAAGTTGGACTACGGCTTCGAGCAAGCCCTCATCTCCTCCAGCGGTGGCCCAATGTTGACAACACCATGGGGCGAGGGAACTTTTGCAGAAGTGGACGAGGAGACAGCGTTTCAGTTCACAACAGGCAAAGGCTTGCAGCTGAAGCGAAGCGAATGTATCAAAGGAGACCCTTATACTGTGATCATGGACGTCATGCTGAAAGCAGTAGCAGGATCTCTGCAGCTGATGGGATCAAACACTTGGGATAACGATGGCCTGTACGTCGATAAGATGTTCACTTTGAAGTTGGTGAATCTCAAATTGATTTGCGACGAAGTGATCAAGATCAACACATGGTACGAGTACGGTCTTTCAAGAGACGAGAATGGAATGATGTCTATCTACCTCAATGGGTTTCTGTGTAGCCAGAGCAAGGTCATCAACAAAGTCGGAGTCTTAGGAAGCGAAGTAAACTTCTTCAGGTCCAGCTCAAACAATCAGCCCAGCGGCTACATTGACCAACTCAGGCTCTGGAGCAAGGCCTTGCAGCCGAGCGAAGTCGCAAAGGAATGTGGATGCATACTGCCGGACAAGGGGGACAATTGTACAAACTACGTAATCTTGAACCCGAGCTACGATAGTCACACCTACTCCTCAATCTATCAAGATAAAGACAAGGGCGAGACCTACGGTGAGGGCATGCTTGATTCTCCCTCATGCTGGTACGCCAAGTCGACACAGACAGGGATAGACAGCGGCGAGTGGATGCAGATTGATGCAGGGAGCGAGACGACTATCGTAGGGGTTGTCACTCAGGGCAGAGCAGGCGCCTCCTGGTGGGTGAAAGAGTTTGCAGTCAGAGTCAGCCTTGATGGGAACACGTGGGCTGATGTGGCGTGCGGGAGGGTGTTTCCAGGAAACACTGATTACACCTCCAAGGTTGAAACTATTTTTCCAGGGACAGTCAAGGCTCGTTATGTCCGGATCTACCCCCTTGCTGGCAACATCGCTCTCCGTGCTGGGTTGCTTGTGTGCGAATCGAGTTGCAAGGGCAACAAGCTTGACTACGAATTCAAGATGTCTCTTCAGTCCTCTACCGGAGGTCCAATGCTCAATCCTGAGTGGGGAGACGGCACTTACGACATGGAAGACGGCTCGTACAAGTTTGCAGCGGGCAAGGGGCTCTCTTTGGATGAAGGTTCGTGCATCAAGCCGGAGGCGTGGAGCACTATCATCGATGCCCAGCTTGACACCATCAGCAGCTTTCGGCAGATCTTAGGGTCGAAAGCATGGGGGGCAGATGGTGCATTCGTCAACACTAACTTCCTGTGGAATCCAAAGATCGAAGGCCTTGCCTGCGAAGAGATTATCAACGCAAAACAATACTATCAATTCGGCATCACCGAGGCAGACGGTCTAGTGTCGCTCTACCTCAATGGATACCTCTGCAGCAGCGCAAAGACTAGCTTCAGGAAGGGATACCAACTCGACCCTCATGACGTCCGCTTCCTAGTAGGTGCCTCAGCCTCGACTTCTTCGGCCGGGAAGGTAAGGAGGATAAGACTGTGGAGTAGAGCACTAAGCGAAGAAGAAATGGCCAAAGAGAGTGATTGCAAGCTCGCGACTCGCTCGGAGGAGCCTTGCTCGTCATCGGTAGTGCTCAACGTCGACTACGGCCACCACAAGTTCTCTGCCAGCCTGTCCAAGAGCGAGGTCGGTCAGGGTAACGGGATGGGCATGCTGGACTCTCCAGCAGGATTTGTGCCGGCAACGAAGAAGAAAGGATATCAGGAAGGAGAATGGCTTCAACTTGACACGGGTGAAGTTCAGACCATTACAGGCATCATGATTCAAGGGTGTGCATCGAGAAATGAATACCTCAAAAGCTTCTTCGTCAAGATTTCTGATGATGGCAGCCAGTGGAAACCAGTCGAGTGCGGCAGGTCCTTCATCGCCAATTCCGACAAGTCCACCAAAGTTCCAGTCTACTTCCGCGTCCCCTTGGAGGGTCGTTTCGTCCGCATCTACCCTGACGACTTCAGCACCTACCCGTCTTTCCGTGCTGGAGTCCTGGTGCCTCTCCAGCTGGATCGGCTGGCGGTTACACTCATTCTTGTTTCAGGTATGTGAGAAGCAGTGCAAGAACCAGCAGCTTGACTATCAGCTTGCTAATGGTCTGACATCAATCACCAACGGACCTATGCTGGAGATCAGCGGAAAGACTGGCAGCTTCAGTAAAGTAAGTGAACCACATGTCAGAGGGGAAGATTGACGTGTGTGACAGGACGGTTACTCGTTGACAGCTGGAAATGGACTCGAGCTGGACTCGGAGGTTAGCTTGTGACAAGTTGTAGAGTTTCTGTGAGAGAGGTGCAGGCTTGTATTGGCAAGACAGACACATACACCATCTTCATCAAAGCAAGGTTGGCCTCGACCTCCGGATTACGATTGGTACGACTAAGGGGTTTGCTTCCACACCATTCTGCTTACTTGTGCACTGCACAGATCTTCCAGTCTGGCAGCTGGGTCCCAGATGCTAGTCTATCCGTCGCGGACGGGACCTACAAGGTGAATAAAATCTTCGTTGAGAGGTGCTTGCTTATTGCGCACTTCACAGCTCTTGCCGGGCTCAGCTAAGGTCGAGTGCTCGTGGATGGTCTTTCCCAAGATAGAGTATCAGTTTGGAATCACGAGATCAGCGAATGGTTTCGATTGTCTTGTCGTACTCGCTTGATCGCCCTGAACAGGTGCTGTCTCTCTCTATTTGAACGGCTACAAGTGTGCCTCTGGCAACCCATCCAACAAACAAGGGTTCAGCATCGATCCGACATCTTTGATCTTCTTCACAGCGAAATCCTCTGAGGCCACCGACGCGGATGTTCAGGTGAGGCTTGAAGAGAGCGCTGAACATGGGATAACTGTTGCCATCAGTCGATTCGCGTGTGGAAGGAAGCTTTGAGTCAGAGCAAAATGGCAGAGGTGGCAGGGTGTGTCTTGGGTCCCCAGTCCGAAGACTCCTGCAGCGAAGTATGCCGAGGGAGACAGCGAGACGTGGTTGCCTGACCTGGTGTGCAGCCTGTGGAATTCAATGTGAAATATTCCAATCATCGTTACTCAGACATTTTCGCCAATGACGCTGTATTGCTTTTCTGTGTCGCATTCTTCATAATCCAAGTCATGTCAGATTGGCGAGGGACATGGTCGTGGTCGACTGGACTCGCCACAAGCTTGGAGTGCAACATCGAGTACTAAAGGAGGTGAGCAGGAGCGCAGTCTATTTTCCTCTCTGAGTTTTCTGCCAGATGGATTCAATTCGTGGATGCAGCTTGATGCGGGAGATGTCACTTCGATCGCTGGCATTGTTACTCAGGGACGTCCTGGACAGCAGAGGGTGAAACAATTTACTGTGAAGTACAGTATTGATGGAGAGACTTGGTTCGACGTCGAGTGTGGGCGCATTTTTGTGGGGAACAATGATGCCGACACTCGTGTAATCTCCAAGTTCTCAGCTCCTGTGAAGGCGAAGTACGTCCGTATCTTTCCCTTGGACTGGGATAATCATCCAAGCATGCGTGCTGGCCTCCTTGTCTGCGATGCGACGATCACAGCAGGGAAACCTTCCAAGTGGACTCTCAGAATCTTCAAGGCCAACAGCGCCATGGCAAACATGCCAGACGTGTCCACTCTGACCTACGTGGGACAGGTGGAAGTTTGTTTGAACTGTGCTGTCAGGCTCTAAGGGTTTGGCAGGGTGTGTGTCCCTACGTTGACTTCAAGAGCGCTGCTGGCTTCAGGGAGTGTGTGCCGGGAATACCAGACAAAAACTTTGTGTGTATCATAGACGGGCATTTTCAGATCCTGATGGAGGGCTCTTACAAGTTCTGTACCTCATCGTCTGATGGGTATAGAGCACGCGTAAAGAGGTTCGAGTGTGCTGACGTGCAGCTGGAAGGTCGTTTATCAACATCGACGGCAAGGAAGTTGTAAGTAATGGAGACAAGCACGGAGTCGTCGAGAAGTGCGGAACAGTTGACCTAACGGCTGGAGCTCACCTCATCAATGTGAAGTTCTTCCAAAGTGATGGGGACGCCACGCTAGTGGTAACCTATGAGGGACCTGACACAGGGTCTCAGCAGAAACCTCTCCCCTCCCATGATCTACAGATGAACTTTTACACGTCAAAGAACGACCTTACGAGCATCCCTGAGGTTTCTGCTCTCCAGCCTCACGGAATGAAAGTTCATATTCCGTTGATCGACTTCCAAGACCTCGACAACTTCAAGCAGTACTTTCCGGATGTTCCTGAGGAGAACTTTGCCGTGCAACTCTGGGGAAAGTTCAAGATCAGCATGCCGGGATCTTACACCTTTTGCACGTCCTCGTCAGATGGCTCCATCTTATGGATCGACCAAGACAAAGTCGTTGACAACAGCGGTGTCCACAATGAGAAAGAGTCGTGCAAGGCTGTCGTCATGACCGAAGGCAACCACGAGGTTCCGCGAGCTTGTGGGCGGAGGGGAAGGGGCAGGTGTAACAATGTTACCAGGTGTATGCCAACTACTACAAAGGGAGCGGAAAGCTAAGCATGCGAATCACTTACAAGGGGGCAGACACAGACGACAAGTACGTGCCTCTCCGAAGTGACGGGGCGAATCCTCCTCCTCTTCCTACTCAGTCCGCATGGCTTATGCGGATGTTCGAATCTGATTCGCAGCTCACGACGATGCCTAATGTGAACGTGTTGAAGTTTCTTGGAGCTGCTGATGTACCCGCCATCGATTTTCACAAAATGGATCAGTTGCAACGGGTGTGCTTATCCTAGTGCTCGTTCGGACCTCACGTGACACGTGTCTTGCAGTACTTCGCGGATCTCTCGACCGTCACCAACACAGCGACGCAATGGTATGGCACGGTGCAGATCAAACAGGCTGGCAACTATTACTTCTGTGCCAAGTCGCAGGACGGGTGAGATTGATGATTGAAAAACGACAAATCATCATGATGATGTTCTGTCTTCTCAGCTCGCACTTCTGGATTGGGGGAAGTTTGCTCATTAATAATGGGGGAGTGCATGCGGAGAGCGAGAAATGTGCGTGGAAGGTAAACTTAGTGTATTTATACATCACCTTGACCATACAGCAGATGAATCTGGCTGCTGGGCTTTACCCTGTCAAAGTCGACTGGTTCACTGCAGATGATTCATATGACGTCCGGGTCACGTACAAGGGACCTGACACATCCGACGAAGTTGTTCTGTTGCCCAGCAAGTCTGCTAATGGCCCACCAATACCTGCTAAATCCGCCTGGTTGATGAAAGTGTTTGTAGCAAACGATTTGCCGTATGAATTTGGAATGCCGGACGTATCAACGATGACAGAAGTCGCAAGCAAGCAAGTCCCCTACATCGACTTCGATAAAATTGAAGAATTCCGCAAGGTGATCGTCGCATGTTTGTCAATTAAACAATGATAACAGGATGATGTTGCAGTTTGTGCCAAAACTGGACAACAACAACATCGCAGCAATCATCGAAGGGCATGTCGAGGTGTCGCGAGAAGGCAGATACGAGCTCTGCTTGGATTCAGATGATGGCTCGAGACTTGTGTGGGACAAGACTGTCTTGATCGACAACGATCAAGTCGGATCGCGCAAGCAAAAGTGTGTCCATACAAAGTTGCAAAGCGGCAAGTACGCTGTTGCTGTTTTGTTTTTTAACAACGGGGCAACGCCTTATCTTAAGTTGAAATGGAGGTCAGGAGAGTTGAAGATGATCTATTCGATACTAACACTTGGAACAGCGGACCTGACACAGACGACGAATCTGTGCTGGTATTGGCCTCCGATTGGATGATGCAAATCTATTTTTCAACTACGAAGTTGAATAGCATCCCGACGTCAACCTCGACTCTCGAGCCTCTGGGGTACAAGGCCAAGATCCCTGCCATTGACTTTGAATCTGCGGATGACTTTCGCCGAGTAAGTGAACCCTCTCTCTACGTTTGCAGCTGACGCCGCTCAAAGTTTTCCCCTGGCATTCCGGACGACGACTTTGCCATCGTTTTTGGAGGTGTCCTGCAGATTGTGCTGGAGGGCAGCTACACCTTCTGCATGTCGTCCAACGATGGGTCCATGCTCAGCATCGGCGGCACCCTGGTCGTGAACAACCCGTCCAAGCGAACGGTGTCTGAGAAGTGCGGAGTTATTGACCTAAGTGAGGGCAGTCACAATGTAGTTGTCAAGTACTACGACGAGTGCTGCGGAGTCAAGCTCGTCGCTACCTATGCCGGCCCAGACACATGGGAAATACAAGAGCTCATCCCAAGTTTGAGCCCGCAAGAACCAATGCTGCCCCCCCAGTCGCAGTGGACCATGAGGCTATTTCAGGCCACGTTTGACCTGGTGCAAGTTCCGCAGCTGCCGTGGTTGCACTTTCTCGGGGAAGCTTACTGTCCCGCCATCGATTTTCACAAAGTCTCGGACCTTGATCAATACATTCCCAACGTGCCGAGCCAGGACTTTGCTGGTGCCTGGTATGGGCAGGTTGAGATTGTCGGGGCTGGAACGTACGAGTTCTGCTTGAAATCAAAGGATGGAGCTATTATGCACATGGATGGGGAACGCATCATAGATGATGATGGTAGGGAGCAGGAGGTGGATGATGGTTAGTGATTGGGATTTCAGGGGTGCATATCGAGCAGGAGAAGTGTTCAGAATTGAAAGGGGTCAAGGTGGGTAAACACAAAGTGGAGATCACTTGGTTTGCGGTACGTGTACATTTGTTATGCAGTTTGACGTTTCTGACCGAATTGAGCAGGGGAGCGCTTCATTCGGTATCAGAGCCACCTACAGTGGACCTGATACTTTTGGCACAAAACGCTTTCTAGGCAGTGCAGAGAAATGGGCGCCTCCTCTAGAGAGAGAGTCTAAGTGGCAGGCAAAGATCTTCTCCTACACAGGAAAGCGCGATAGGATACCCGATTTTCAGGACAATAACATCAAGCTTGTTGACACGGGAGTTCTCCCATTCATTGACTTTTCAAAGTATAGTGACTTGTCGAAGGTCTGCAAACTTTGTTGCTTGTAATGTATTCGTTTGACCTTGTTCTCTAGTTCATCAGCAATACTCCGACTTCGAAAATTGCCTGGCTCATCGAGGGACAAGTGCCCATTGTTAAGGAGGGAAAGTATCTCATATGCTCCCTTTCAACCCATGGGTGAGGATGTAAGGGACGAAAGGATTTGAGCTAACCTGCTTTACTTTCCCTCAGATCAAATGTCTACATCGACCAGGAACATGTGATTGATAACGATGGGTCTCACTCAAATCAAGAGATCTGCTCGTTCGTAGAGCTTAAATCAGGATCTCACCTCTTCGTAGTCAAAGGATATTCAGAGAACCAGAACATGCAGGAGGTCTTGAAGTACAGGTGAGTCTGATACTACACAGATCTCTAAGTCCATTCTAAACCCATTGCAGTGGCCCGGACACCAACGACCAGAAAGTTCTCATCAACGCTAATGCAGAAAATTCTCCAGAAGGAAACAAACGAGGCATGGGCAGAGAAGCTGACTCCAAAGAAGGCAAGGTCCTCGATGGCGGCTCGAAAGAAGCCAAGGTCCTCGATGGCGGCTCGAAAGAAGCCAAGGTCCTCGATGGCGGCTCGAAAGAAGCCAAGGTCCTCGATGGCGGCTCGAAAGAAGCCAAGGTCCTCGATGGCGGCTCGAAAGAAGCCAAGGTCCTCGATGGCGGCTCGAAAGAAGCCAAGGTCCTCGATGGCGGCTCGAAAGAAGGCAAGGTCCTCGATGGCGGCTCGAAAGAAGCCAAGGTCCTCGATGGCGGATCGAAAGAAGCCAAGGTCCTCGATGGCGGCTCGAAAGAAGGAAAGGTCCTCGATGGCGGCTCGAAAGAAGCCAAGGTCCTCGATGGCGGCTCGAAAGAAGCCAAGGTCCTCGATGGCGGCTCGAAAGAAGCCAAGGTCCTCGATGGCGGCTCGAAAGAAGCCAAGGTCCTCGATGGCGGCTCGAAAGAAGCCAAGGTCCTCGATGGCGGCTCGAAAGAAGCCAAGGTCCTCGATGGCGGCTCGAAAGAAGCCAAGGTCCTCGATGGCGGCTCGAAAGAAGCCAAGGTCCTCGATGGCGGCTCGAAAGAAGCCAAGGTCCTCGATGGCGGCTCGAAAGAAGCCAAGGTCCTCGATGGCGGATCGAAAGAAGCCAAGGTCCTCGATGGCGGCTCGAAAGAAGCCAAGGTCCTCGATGGCGGCTCGAAAGAAGCCAAGGTCCTCGATGGCGGCTCGAAAGAAGGCAAGGTCCTCGATGGCGGCTCGAAAGAAGGCAAGGTCCTCGATGGCGGCTCGAAAGAAGCCAAGGTCCTCGATGGCGGATCGAAAGAAGCCAAGGTCCTCGATGGCGGCTCGAAAGAAGCCAAGGTCCTCGATGGCGGATCGAAAGAAGCCAAGGTCCTCGATGGCGGATCGAAAGAAGGCAAGGTCCTCGATGGCGGCTCGAAAGAAGGCAAGGTCCTCGATGGCGGCTCGAAAGAAGCCAAGGTCCTCGATGGCGGCTCCAAAGAAGGCAAGGTCCTCGATGGCGGCTCGAAAGAAGCCAAGGTCCTCGATGGCGGCTCCAAATAAGATGTATGAATGAATTGGGACGTCAAGGATACATTTCGTGTCTTTTTTATCATCATGCATCTTCTTCATGTTGCATCTATTCATTGCTGTCAAATCTGTTCGAGCTTTTTCCTGCTGCTCATGGTAGTTTCCATGATTTTCTGCAGATGTTTGTGTAACATTTAAAAGATGAATCCCGTTTGTGAGGAATTGTTTCTTGATCGTAGAGTGAAATACATGGCATAGCTTCCTACCACCGATATTTTGCACATATTTGACGTGGCATCGGGCTGACAGTAACTGTATCTCAGCCCACACATTCGCAATGTCCATGTTGGAACAGTTCAGGGGCTGATAAGCCTATTGTTGAGGATCAAAGCAGCTTTCTAAGTATGGTTCTTCAGTATGATGAAAGTGTTCGCAACAAGCTGTATCGGAGATCATGCCAATACACGCAGGCCGAGCTTGTAGATGCCTCGGTCCTCGAAGCTGATCTGGTCGAGAGGGTGAAGAGCTTCGCGAAACGTTTTCCTAACAGTAGGACAGCCCAGGCTTGCAAGGCTGTGGAGGGATGCACCCCCGACGCTATCGCAGAAGCCATCCGCTCGACATGTCAGCAGGCACGACGTGAGCTTCTACAAGAAGCGATGACTGGATGGAATGACGCATCTAGAGAGTGGTTTATGCAGCAGATGGAGGAAGCCAAGAAGGAGAAGGTCGAGACATACACCGCCTCAGCAGGCAACGAGGTGACTTCCTTCATCTCCATGACTCTGCTGGGGATATCTTCGGTGTATCTCAACCACGAGGGGAACCTGAAGAGAAATTCGAAGAGATCGGACTGATCGTAGACTCAGTGCAAGAGAGTAAAGCGATCATGTGGAAGGCTCCGTATAGATCCGAGATAGCGAGTGCTGAGGAGATCCCGGTGACTGTTTCCTTCCTCCGTAATGCACAAGCGGAGAAGCTCTGGCATGGAAGAGAGGACTTTTAGGGTTTATAAGGCTTTAAAATTTTTAGAACTACTTATACCGTGATTGCACACTATGTGCTTTATAAATGTGCTACAAAACGTTTCGATTTTATATTTAGTTGTATCCTGCGCGGGAATGCAGGCAGAGGAAGGCTCGACACAGGCCAGGAGGCTCAGCATGAGTGCCAAGCTACGTGCTGTGCAACAAGAGCTGGAGCTCGACCTCCCTACCAATGCGTCGTACATTGTCATTGTTGAACGTGGATTTCGTTGCTTGGGTATGAAACTCTTCATTATTATCACCTTGCTTCCTCACGGCCCGGGAGCGGACAGATCCGGCAGGCTTTGCCTGAAGATGATAGTTGTGCAAGCCACAACTATCAATCCTTATCAATCGGGGACGAGCTCTCCTGCTTTTGGACTAGTGATGGGTTTAGGGTTTAGGGTTTAGGAGGCGCCGTTATTTTCGGCAGGCGCCGTTATTTTCGGCAGGCGCCGTTATTTTCGGCAGGCGCCGTTATTTTCGGCAGGCGCCGTTATTTTCGGCAGGCGCCGTTATTTTCGGCAGGCGCCGTTATTTTCGGCAGGCGCCGTTATTTTCGGCAGGCGCCGTTATTTTTGGCAGCATGGCTCCTCGTCAGGTGTAGGGGAAGCCGCCAGGGCGCCAAGGAAGCTGCAAGCGAGAGGTTTGTATATTTCAAATAGCTTTCTAAGTATGGTTCTTCAGTATGATGAAAATGTTCGCATCCTGCTGTATCGGAGATCATGCCAATACACGCAGAGCGGACTTGTGGATGCCTCTGTCCTCGAAGCTGATCTGGTCGAGAGGGTGAAGAGCTTCGCGAAGCGTTATCCGAACAGTAGGACAGCCCAGGCTTGCAAGGCTGTGGAGGGATGCACCCCCGACGCTATCGCAGAAGCCATCCGCTCGACATGTCAGCAGGCACGACGTGAGCTTCTGCAAGAAGCGATGACTGGATGGAGTGACGCATCCAGAGAATGGTTTATGCAGCAGATTGAAGAAGCCAAGAAGGAGAAGGTCGAGACATACACCGCCTCAGCAGGCAACGAGGTGACTTCCTTCATCTCCATGACTCTCCTGGGCATCTCCTCGGTGTATGTCAACGATGAAGAAAAGCTGAAGAAGAAATTTGAAGAGATCGGACTGATCGTAGACTCAGTGCAAGAGAGTAAAGCAATCATGTGGAAGGCTCCGTATAGACCCGAGATAGCGAGTGCTGAGGAGATCCTGGTGACTGTTTTCTTAGGGTTTAGGGTTTAGGAGGCGCCGTTATTTTTGGCAGCATGGCTCCTTGCCAGGTGTAGGGGAAGACGCCAGGGCGCCAAGGAAGCTGCAAGCGAGAGGTTTGTATACTTCAAATAGCTTTCTAAGTATGGTTCTTCAGTATGATGAAAATGTTCGCAACCTGCTGTATCGGAGATCATGCCAATACACGCAGAGCGGACTTGTGGATGCCTCTGTCCTCGAAGCTGACCTCGTCGAGAGGGTGAAGAGCTTCGCGAAGCGTTATCCAAACAGCAGGACAGCCCAGGCTTGCAAGGCTGTGGAGGGATGCACCCCCGACGCTATCGCAGAAGCCATCCGCTCGACATGTCAGCAGGCACGACGTGAGCTTCTGCAAGAAGCGATGACTGGATGGAGTGACGCATCCAGAGAGTGGTTTATGCAGCAGATTGAAGAAGCCAAGAAGGAGAAGGTCGAGACATACACCGCCTCAGCAGGCAACGAGGTGACTTCCTTCATCTCCATGACTCTCCTGGGCATCTCCTCGGTGTATGTCAACCATGAAGAAAAGCTGAAGAAGAAATTTGAAGAGATCGGACTGATCGTAGACTCAGTGCAAGAGAGTAAAGCAATCATGTGGAAGGCTCCGTATAGACCCGAGATAGCGAGTGCTGAGGAGATCCCGGTGACTGTTTCCTTCCTCCGCAATGCACAAGCGGAGAAGCTCTGGCAGGGAAGAGAGGACTTCGCGATCGATGGTCGCAAGTTCACAGCTGTACATGTGAGCATCGTGCACGATCGATCTTTCAAGATTCGAGCCAAGAGAGGACCCTGGGGCAAAGGGGGCAGCTTGGCAGAGCTGACTCACCTGCTAACCTTGGGCGGCATGACAACGGCTGAGATAGCTGCCGTCTATCGCTATCAGCTGCTGCGCCAGTCCCTTGCAGCGGTCCAGCTCCAGCCGCTGGCAGGCATGCTGGTCGCTGGGGCGCCAGGACAGCAAGTCCACAAAGGCTTAGGTCAGAAAGGCTTCATCGCTGTAGGGGCCAACGTCATCTGGAGACAGAGGGAGGTGGAGTGGATCGTCTCCTCGAGCTGCCCAGAGGCGAATGATACAGCATTTCGAGCTTTCCGAGAGAGCGAAGCGATGGAGGGAGTACACCTGACTCTGTTCAGCGAGGACCCGAAGATCAGAGAGGCGCTCGCAGTCGAGTTGACAGCGGATCGCTTTGTGTCCAGAAATAAATTGAAGAAGGCATCAAGGATGCAGAAGAAGGCAGGCGGCAAGGACGGCAAGGAGATCAAGATCATCATCAAGTCGACGGCGGCATCTGGTCGCTTCACGAGGAAGGAGATGGAGGGGCTGTGCAACGGCGGCAACACTTCCATCGCAAGAGTCAAGAGAGTCTTGTTGGAGATCGCTAACAGGCTCGAGATCAAAGTTGAAGGCATCGACATGGAGGAGGATTTGAACACCAAGTCCTGGAACGGGTCCAAGCTATGCATCCTCCTCGGCTCCACGGAGGATGCTCGACGCATGATGAAGGAGCTGCCCTTCTATCTCGAAGGCGCAGCAACCAAGCTCGAAGCAGTCGGCTTCGACAAGGAGCCTGACTCTGAGGCGGCTGGTCAGCGGGGCACCAGCGACGCAGCGCAGCGACAGGAGGAGAGCGAGGGAGAGTGGCTGGAGTTTACAGACCTGGAGAGGATCACAATGGAGGCAGCATCTCCGTCAAGCCAAGAGGACATGCAGCTCGTCAGCGAGCTGTCAGCAGTCATCGAAGATGCAGCTTCTTTGAACGAGGCGGGGACGAGCGAGCCGATCAAGCTGGTCCTGGACAAGGCCGTTGGCAACCTCCACGACACCTTCTACTCTCCGGGGAGCCTGGAGTTCATGTCGCTGGGAGAGTGGGCGAAGATGCCAGAGGAGCAGGGAGTTGGGCGCAACGTTCTCAAGGAGAAGCTGGGGAAGTGGCTGCAGAGCAAGCGCTGGACTCGCGTGCAAGGAGAGAGCAAGAAGGCAAGGAGGGGCAGCGCGTTCTCGCCACGGGCAACGGCAGCTGCTGAGCTTGAGCAGGAGGCGGAGAGCGACGACATAGAGCGTCGATCTCTTAGCTTCCTGTTCATAGCACTGAGTAAATTCGCAGAGATGCATGTGCTGGCCTGCTTGCTGAAAGTGGACAAGAAGGACCGACTGCGAGTGGAGATGAGGGAAGATGACGAAGAAGAGGAAGACATGGAGGAAGAGCAAGGCGAGGGCGAGGAAGAAGACGGGGCGAGCCCGTACCGAGCTTGAGCTGAGCTCAAGGTAAGGAGAGAAGGTAGGAGGCGACCGAAGGCCAAGGTGAGGAGAGGCAACTCTCCTGACTGAGGCTGAGGAAGCTGAATGGAGGAGGAGTAGGTGGCGACCGAAGGCCAAGGTGAGGAGAGGCAACTCTCCTGACTGAGGCTGAGGAAGCTGAATGGAGGTAGAGTAGGTGGCGACCGAAGGCCAAGGTGAGGAGAGGCAACTCTCCTGACTGAGGCTGAGGAAGCTGAATGGAGGTAGAGTAGGTGGCGACCGAAGGCCAAGGTGAGGAGAGGCAACTCTCCTGACTGAGGCTGAGCAAGCCAAGAGAAGACAGCAGAAGTAGAGAGTAGAAGGGTTTAGGGTTTAGGAGCGCCGGTTATTTCAGGCAGCGCCGGTTATTTCAGGCAGCGCCGGTTATTTCAGGCAGCGCCGGTTATTTCAGGCAGCGCCGGTTATTTCAGGCAGCGCCGGTTATTTCAGGCAGCGCCGGTTATTTCAGGCAGCGCCGGTTATTTCAGGCAGCGCCGGTTATTTCAGGCAGCGCCGGTTATTTCAGGCAGCGCCGGTTATTTCAGGCAGCGCCGGTATTCAGGCAGCGCCGGTTATTCAGGCAGCGCCGGTATTCAGGCAGCGCCGGTTATTCAGGCAGCGCCGGTTATTCAGGCAGCGCCGGTTATTTCAGGCAGCGCCGGTTATTTCAGGCAGCGCCGGTTAGGCACCAGCGCCGGTTATTTCAGGCAGCGCCGGTTATTTCAGGCAGCGCCGGTTATTTCAGGCAGCGCCGGTTATTTCAGGCAGCGCCGGTTATTTCAGGCAGCGCCGGTTATTTCAGGCAGCGCCGGTTATTTCAGGCAGCGCCGGTTATTTTCGGCAGCATGGCTGCACGCGTGGTGTAGGGGAAGCTGCCAGGGCGCCAAGGAAGCTGCAAGCGAGAGGTTTGTATACTTCAAATAGCTTTCTAAGTATGGTTCTTCAGTATGATGAAAATGTTCGCAACCTGCTGTATCGGAGATCATGCCAATACACGCAGAGCGGACTTGTGGATGCCTCTGTCCTCGAAGCTGATCTCGTCGAGAGGGTGAAGAGCTTCGCGAAGCGTTATCCGAACAGCAGGACAGCCCAGGCTTGCAAGGCTGTGGAGGGATGCACCCCCGACGCTATCGCAGAAGCCATCCGCTCGACATGTCAGCAGGCACGACGTGAGCTTCTGCAAGAAGCGATGACTGGATGGAGTGACGCATCCAGAGAGTGGTTTATGCAGCAGATTGAAGAAGCCAAGAAGGAGAAGGTCGAGACATACACCGCCTCAGCAGGCAACGAGGTGACTTCCTTCATCTCCATGACTCTCCTGGGCATCTCCTCGGTGTATGTCAACCATGAAGAAAAGCTGAAGAAGAAATTTGAAGAGATCGGACTGATCGTAGACTCAGTGCAAGAGAGTAAAGCAATCATGTGGAAGGCTCCGTATAGACCCGAGATAGCGAGTGCTGAGGAGATCCCGGTGACTGTTTCCTTCCTCCGCAATGCACAAGCGGAGAAGCTCTGGCAGGGAAGAGAGGACTTCGCGATCGATGGTCGCAAGTTCACAGCTGTACATGTGAGCATCGTGCACGATCGATCTTTCAAGATTCGAGCCAAGAGAGGACCCTGGGGCAAAGGGGGCAGCTTGGCAGAGCTGACTCACCTGCTAACCTTGGGCGGCATGACAACGGCTGAGATAGCTGCCGTCTATCGCTATCAGCTGCTGCGCCAGTCCCTTGCAGCGGTCCAACTCCAGCCGCTGGCAGGCATGCTGGTCGCTGGGGCGCCAGGACAGCAAGTCCACAAAGGCTTAGGTCAGAAAGGCTTCATCGCTGTAGGGGCCAACGTCATCTGGAGACAGAGGGAGGTGGAGTGGATCGTCTCCTCGAGCTGCCCAGAGGCGAATGATACAGCATTTCGAGCTTTCCGAGAGAGCGAAGCGATGGAGGGAGTACACCTGACTC